ATTCAAAACGTTAATCCCTTTCTAATCGAAAATAAATTTAGGAATCATAGATTATTATTATTCTAATTTCCCCTTAACACTTCTACATAAATAGTATTTATATTTAAAATATATTTACTTCATTTAAGAAAAGAAAAGTTGAATATTATTTGTTTACAATTTTTCCGCCATTTGTAAAAAAGACAATAGCAACTTCACTTTTTGGATCAAAGTTAAACATCTAATTTATATAATATATCATTGGCACGTAAAGAATTCTCTTAATAACAAGGTAAATTGTTGAATTTTGATTGGTGCTAAATTTATTTTTTCACATGGTTGTTTTGGGACTACCATTTTACGCATAGATTTATTTGTCAATTTTGTTCAGAACTACTAGCCAATCTAGTTATTTGTTTAAGTAACATTCAAGCAATTAAGTAACATTCAAGCAATTAGAAAACAATCTAAGATTAAATAAGTTTTCAAACTAAATTTGTGTTTTTCTTTGTTGTCAATTTATTATGGAGTTAAACCTAAATTTTAGATAGCGGTCCTAAGTAGCTAGTGGCTTTAGATACAATTAAAATTAAGCCTATTGTACTTAGGGCCACTAATTTTTAAACCTTTCTACATGACGGACTTTTAACATTTGAATCAATACACTTATACTAATACAAAGTAATTAATATTGATCATATCAGTTTTACTATTTTTAGACTGGTCTAAAATGTAAGTCTGGTGCCTTAAATTTGGGCATTGAAAAAATCCGTCCCTAGGTATACGAACTTCCCCTATAATTTTTGCATTTTTTGTAGTTATTAAGGTGCTCACAGAAAATCTTACAGTTATACAGAACACCACGGAAGAGTGTAAGTAATGCTAGCATGCTATTAATTAGATAAAACTAGTTAATAGTTACAATAGTACTTTTGTTATTAAATGAACAAACAAAAAAGTTAAACTGAATAAAAAGATGAAAACTGAATAAAAAGATATAAGAATTTAAAAATTTTTACTCAACTTAATTTTTAATTGACTTTCAGTCAATGAGTAGGAAGTCACTCCATTAAATCAGCAATTCTATTTTTTTAAGTCGACTAAATTTGATTAACTAGTTAAATTTTAGTCAATTTAGTCAAAGTTGATTACAACATTATGTAAAATGTTGTGATCTGGTTAAATTTCTATTAAGTTGTAACAAGGAAAAAGTGACTATATTAAGTATTCTGTATTAAACAACAAAAATAATTATTAAAACCATAATCAATTTTACCATTTGAAAAAAAATTCTTTTTTCATATTTTAGTTGATTTTTACCAATTTTGTAGTTTTATTTTTAATGATGGATATAGTATTATATATATATATATATATATATATATATATATATATATATATATATATATATATATATATATATATATATATATATATATAATTGAAAATACATATATGCAGGTCTTGGCATGAAGAAAATTATCTAGCGTGATGTTTCATGTCTGTAAAACTAAAATATTTTTTTAGCGAGCGTCATTAAGTTATTGGGAGCGATCTTTTATTTTTGGATATGAGTGTTCCACACAATTTTACTAAGTTTTAATTTGTTATACAGTGTTCTTTAGACGATAAATATCTTAAAATTATTATTACTACTAATTTAATATTTGATCGCATCTGATTGTGTTTTTTTCCACCTAGTTCTTAATGATCTTGTTTTAAAGAATAAATTTATCTTTTATGTATATTCTTTGTTATTGTCTTCATCTTTAAATTAATACTACAGTCAATTTTTTTTTATTACTACATCAAATTTATTTGAAAGAAGTTAATAAGCTTTCATTTTTTCATTTTTCATTCGTTCAATTAAAATATAAATTCCTAATGTTTTTGCATCATTAAAACATTAAAACAATGAAATAACGATTTCTTAAAAACAATCTCGTTAAAACATTTTGTTTTTTTCGATTCTAATGCTAATAGAACTTTTAAAACTTTTTTAGCAAACGTTTTCACAAACTTAAACTTTTCTTTTTTTCAAATAAATTTATAATTTTAATTAAGTTATAAATAATATATATATATATATATATATATATATATATATATATATATATATATATATATATATATATATATATATATATATATATATAAGCTATTTTAACAACAAAAGCTTTTTAAATTTAGTTAAATTTTAGCCAAAAACCCTTTGTTTAAATAATAATTTATAAAATTCTATAAAGACTTGTTGAAATTCTTTTCTATCAACATTGGACTATTAACTCAAAGAATCATTAAAAGTTTTAGTATTTTTGGGATTAATTTTTCTACTTTGTTACTACATTAAATTGAATACAATTCCATTTAAGGTAATATATATATCATAAATCATAATCATTTACGTCATAAGAAAGATTTTTAAAAACTAATAATAACTAAAATTTGTAGTAATTTTATTTTATATGTAATAGTTTTATATTTCATCATATGTTTAGGGACAGTGTTATTCTTTAACTATTGTTAGAGTGCTGAATTTTTTTAAATGTTTTATTCGACTGCCAAAACGCAATTAAAAATATGTGAATAGTGACTATTTTGTTTTTAACGATAAGCAAACTATTCTGTTCAAAACACAACGTTTTTAGAAATATTTTTTTCAAAATTAAATAAAAAACTTATATTATTATACATATGATTTTTAGCAAATGCTTTTACAAAATTAAATTAACAACATTTTTCATAATTAATTTGTATTTATTACACAATTTAATATTAATAATAAACTTAAATAAATAAAAATTTATTTAATTTTGTTAAATGTTTGCTGTAAACGTTTTATATAAAAAAGTCTTTGGTTGTTCTTAGAAATTTGCGCTCTAATTTCAACAGGATGACGTAAGTTAACATGAAAAAATGAGTTTTTTAATTGAGATATAGCTTAACATTTTACCTCAATTGAAAAAACGCAATTAAAGATATGTGAATAGAGATTATTTTGTTTTTAACAATAAGCAAACTTTTTTGTTTAATTAAACAAGAATCTTTAACAAAAACTTTTTATAAAAAAAATTGAATATATAATCAAGTAAACCATTATTAATTTTCTCCCTCCAAAATTTTAAGGACGAGCACAATTTTTTACTCTTGTTACTAAATTAGCGAGCGTTTTTTATCGCGCCCGCAATTTAAATATTCCATCAACAAGCATGTTTCAGGTGACAGGAGCGATTGCTCCCGCTTTATGCCAAGGCCTGTATACGTATACCTAAATGATCTATTTTCAATTATATATAGTATATATATAATTGAAAATACATCATTTAGGGTGACATACTATTTATTTAACTTATTAAAAATTTTTAATTTTAAATGTACTTTTACTCATATAGACTCATTTTGACAGGCCTTGTTAAGAAGCATTATGCAGCTTGCATTTTGACAGGCCTTGTTAAGAAGCATTATGCAGCTCGCATTTTTTGTGCATGATGAAAGCGTTCAGTTAAACAAAATTTTTTTTTGTAAAATTGTCAACGGAGAACCAAGAGGCTGTATGTCCATTTTTTGTATTTCCAAGAAAATCAAATTTTATAATTTAATTTGTATAGACTAACTGCCAGAATGTCCGACTAATTTTTTAAATATTTTAAAAGGTTGTATCATTCTTGAAACTAGATTTATTTGACATATACCCCATTGATTGTTGAATATTTATTGATAATAAACAGAAAAAACACAAAATGTGGACATACAGTCTCTCGGTTCTCATCTGACGAAATGTAAAGAACGAAAGCGCTTATTTAGGCTAAAAAAAATTTACTTAAATTATCTTTTAATATTGTTTGTGTGAGGTTTATTTTGTTTATTTTTAAAACATAAGGTCGCAAAAAAACATTTAACTGCAACTGAGAATATTTTAAAGAAACAAATTGTTTTATTAAAAAAAAAATTAATTTTAAAAGACTTTAAATTAAATATAACTAAATATGATTTATGATTTTATATTTTAAATTTAGTTTTGAAGAAATGTCAAATAGTTAAACATTGAATGTAAAATTTAGTTTCAAATGAATGTAAATTAGTTTCTGAATTTTTATAAAAGAAGTTTTTTCTTATCATCTGGTAACAAATTCATTACACCTCTCCATCATGGATTATCATAGAAGTCTCTCCATCATGAATTATCATAGAAGTCTCTCCATCATAGATTATCATAGAAGTCTCTCCATCATAGATTATAGTAGATTATTATATGTAAAAACAAATTAAAAAAAACTTTTTCCTCATAAAAAGGAAAATATACTTTCATTTAAGAAGATTCTTTTGACAAATGTACTTTTTTATTTCTTATTAATTCAATATCATGTTAAGTTCTGTTGACATAAAATGCTTACGAACATAAGTTATGTCTACAAATATCTTATTGGTAACTGATAAAGTCTATCTATAAATTGTTTATAACATTCAATTAAAATACTACATTAGATGTAAAAATTAAATGATAAATTGTGATAAACAAACAAAAGGTTATGTATAGTTGTAAAATGTTAAGTATAAGATTATGTAAAGATTAAGGTTAAGATTAAAACATCTATTTTTTAAATAAAATTAGCGCTCAATTCAATTCCATTACATTTCCATGACCAGTGGCCACCCTTTTATATAACTTTTTAAATGGAGTTTTAAATGTTTTTTAATGGAGTGGAAACAACCCTTAGTCTAACAACAAAAACTCTAACAAGATATAACGCTTTTAATAAAACAAATTTTAGGATTGTTATGTAACATCTAAACCTGAAACAAATTATAGAATTGTTATGTAACATCCAAACCTGAAACAAATTATAGGATTGTTATGTAACATCCAAACCTGAAACAAATTATAGGATTGTTATGTAACATCCAAACCTGAAACAAATTATAGGATCGTTATGTAACATCCAAAAAATAATTTGTGAAATATTATAGTACTGGTAATATATTATAGACTAGAATTGAGGTAAAAAATAAACAAAACAAACCGATTTTATCAAGCTCATGTCAATATTTGTATCATTGGGATTAAGAAACTTTTCACTATCATGAGTGAAATTAACAGATTCCAAATGAGCATGTTTTGCTTTTTCTTTTTCTATTGTCTATAATAAATAATAATAAATAAAATGACATATTGTTATATTTAATTTATTATTTCACTAATGATTTCTAATATTAACTTTAATAAAATTACACTACTGATGCAAATAATATTATATCATTCAGGCCTTGCGATAAAGCGTCAGGCAATGTGAATTTTATGTCGTCCAAGAGCAATTTTGTGTGTAGCTAGGGCTATTTGCGTCGGGCAAAAAATTTTTTGTTTGAGTATATTTGAAGATATTTTTGAGCGGAATTTTAATGAAGTAATTTACGATTATTTTAACATTTAATAAAGTATTTTAAAAACCGCACGCTGTTGATAAAAGTTTGAATTACAAAAAAAATAAATATGCTCATTATTTACAAGTAGAAAAAATTCAGATTAAAAAAAAAGTTTAAATTTTTTTAAGCTAACATTTTAATAAAATTACTCAGCAATAGCAAAGTCGTCGGTAAAATTGAACAAAAATACTTTCTCTTAGTTTTAGATTTTTAACTTAAATAATTATTTTACGGGGGTTTGTTAGGTTTTAAAATTATTCCATAGATTTAAAAATATTTATTAACAGTTAGACGTATTTAAAGTATTTAAGAGTAATTTCAAAGAAACATATTAAAAATTGGTAAACGCAAATCAAAAAATTAAAAAGATTAATATTAAAACGTATTCTACTTGATTAAATAAAAAAGTACAGCTATAAAAATTTTTGTAAAAAGTAACTCGAAAAAAATTAATGAAATAATAACAATCGCTTTTTTGTTAAAAGTTACCGAAACTCAAGGAAGCGTGCTCAAGAACAGCTGCTGAAAAATAGAACGTCAATAGTTTTTTGAATAATTTTTAAGAATAATTTTTTCGCTGAAATATGATTTTTATACCTATAAGATTTTTATTCTAACATTTTATTTTATTTTACCAAAAATAAAATTCCTTGTAAACATTAAAAATCTATTCAAAACGTTCGTTAAAGTTTTTTAGTAATACGAGTGATTGTGCTTATCAACCGCTTTATGAAAATAAATAAAAATAAAAAAATAAAAAAATATTATATAAAATCGCTAGTAAAAACATTAGCTATCCTCGCAGTCAGAAAGTCAAGTGGTTATGCAAAATAACAATAGCGCAAGTTGTTACCATCTTGGATGGGGAAAAATAAATGATTAGTTGAGTTAATAAAGCGCTTTATTATTAAAATATAATTTTTACGAAAAAGTGATTTAAAGAGTTTAAAAAAAGAAATATCGGTTTACGAATATTTTGAAAAATTAGATTTTAACGCTGCAGAAAGGTATATAAATAAATTTGCAATCCTTGGAATCAACCGATGTCTATACAAGTTCCTTGGAAATACTTGAAAGATGATCAAACTGAATGGACATGAGTTCAATACCATGACGTTTATAATTATTTATTAAAAAGTCCTATAATATTTTCTTTCGAGGCTAAAGGTAATTATGATCACATTAGATGCTTATAAATATTTTGGCTTTAGCTTGATGCAGGAAGTTTTTCACAAGACATTAGGCTCTAGTTTTGTTGTTTTGAAAACACAAGTTATCTGACTTGTGCGTTAAAAAACAACAAAACCATCTTAGTCACCAGAGTTGACTGAAAACAACAAAACCATCTTACAAAACACACACACACACACACACATATATATATATATATATATATATATATATATATATATATATATATATATATATATATATATATATATATATATATATATATATATATATATATATATATATATATATATATATATATATATATATATATGAGGCCTTGTGATGAATAAAAACTGCGCGACGCATAAGCACAACGTGATTTTTGACATCATTAAATTCTTTTTATTTGCTTTTCATATTTATCAACATTAACGGCACCAATTTACATAATTACCGCAAAACTACTTTAAATCATTAATGTAGAAATGTTATTATTTAAAAATGTTTTGGAATGTTTCGTTTTTTAAAATGTAAAACATTTGTTTATTTTCTCGACGTTTGTCACGTTTTGTCTATACTAAACGAATAAAAAACATAAGCTTTTCAAATAATTATTTTTTCTTTTTAAAAAGTCAAAGAGTAATATACTGGAAATTTTAATATTGCACGATTAAAAACTGTTCAATAGCTAATATTTTTACTAGCAATTTTCATAAAGCGGTTGATAAGCACAATCACTCGTATTATTAAAAAACTTTAACGAACATATTGAATAGATTTTTAATGTTTACAAGGAATTTTATTTTTGGTAAAATAAAATAAAATGTTAGAATAAAAATCTTTTAGGTATAAAAGAAATATTTCAGCGAAAAAATTATTCTTAAAAATTAATATTCAAAATTATTCGAAAAATTATTGACGCTCTATTTTTCAGAGCTATTCTTGAGCACGCTTCGTTGAGTTTCGGTAACTTTTAACAAAAAAGCGATTGTTATTATTTAAGTAATTTTTTTCGAGTTACTTTTTAAAAAAATTTTTATAGCTGTACTTTTTTATTGAATCAAGTAGAATACGTTTTAATATTATTCCTTTTATTTTTTTTTATTTGCGCTTACCAATTTTTAAAATGTTTTCTTGAAATTACTCTTAAATACTTTAAATTCGTCTAATAGTTAATAAATATTTTTAAATCTATGGAATAATTTTAAAACCTAACAAACCCCGTAAAATAATTATTTAAGTTAAAAATCTAAAACTAAAAGAAAGTATTTTTGTTCAATTTTATTGACAACTTTGCTATTGCTGATTAATTTTATTAAAATGCAAGCTTAAAAAGATTTAAACTTTTTTTTTAATCTGAATTTTTTCTACTTGTAAATAATGAGCATATTTATTTTTTTTGTAATTCAAACTTTTATATCAACTGCGTGTGGTTTTTAAAATACTTTATTAAATGTTAAAATAATCGTAAATTACTTCATTAAAATTCCGCTCAAAAATATACTCAAACAAAAATTTTTTTGCTCGACGCAAATAGCCCTAGCTACACGCAAAATCGCTCTTGGACGACGTAAAATTCACATTGCCCGACGCTTTATCGCAAGGCCTGATATATATATAATTAATATATTATTTATATTTACACGTATATATATACATATATATATATATATATATATATATATATATACATATACATATATATATATACATATACATATATATATATATATATATATATATATATATATATATATATATATATATATATATATATATATATATATATATATATATATATATATATATATATATATATATATATATATATATATATATATATATATAAAATCACTTAGCAAAATTTTTTCTCATTTAACATCGTGTTTCATCAATAAAGTTTTATTGATGAAACACTGTTAAATGAGAAAATTTTCTACTAATTTGTAATTGCTCTGTTCTTTTAAGAACATTGAGCACTCTTTTTTTAGAATACATTTTAAATTGTTTATATATATATATATATATATATATATATATATATATATATATATATATATATATATATATATATATATATATATATATATATATATATATATATATATATATATATATATATATATATCAAAAATCACTTAAAGACACAACAATCCTTGTGCATTTTAAAGACTTTTATGTTATGCCTTTTATGTTATGCCTTTGTATCATAACGAAAGTTTATTTTCCCCCAACCAATATGGTGTATGTATGTATGTATGTACTCAATTACTTCTAGTTGTTGTTTTTAATTTTCTTTGTTTTTATTCAAATTACTTACTTTTGGTCGGTAAGATTATCATTATTGAGCTGAACTTGTGTTTTTAAGCTTTGCTATGTGGCCTCTATATAGCATTTAGCCGGAGGAGGATAAACCACAATACCAATTTGTCAATATTATTTGTAAGAGTACAATTATTAAAAATTTAAAGGTACCAGAAAAGTAGTGAGGGTCTGGTTCAAATTTGTGTAGTTGCTATGACTCCTCGTTAGAGCAGCATTGATTGCAGGAGAATCTACAAAATTGTGCCATAAGGTTTTACACATACACCATACACCATACATACAATTTTTTAAAGAATATATTATCAAATGAACTATTACTTTAATATTCTTGGAGCCACATCTGCAAAGCCGTAAATCTTTTAAACTATTACCACTTGTTTACAAAAATAAATGTTTTAAATATATATTTTTTTAATTGTCAAAATTTTGTTAATTACAAACTATATATTTTATTAGTATATTACAAACTATACATTTTATAAGTATATTCTTATTTTTTATATCTTTTTTTTTCCTAGTGCTTGGTTTAATTAATTGTTCGTTAGATTTGTCAAAACAACTTGCATAAAAATGTAAAGAACACACTCGTGAATCATCAGAGATATTATATAACTCGATTTGGCGCTATAGGGGTCCCTAGGTCAACCATCGCCGTGGCCCATATAGCCACGGCTCTGATAGCTACAAAAAAACATAAAGTTTTTTTCAATGTGAAGATTTTAGAAAATAAAATAACTAACTATAGTTAGTTATTTTAGTGAAAATTAATAGTAAAATTTTTAAACAATTTCTAGAATGTTTTCAATGACGTCATGTAATAAAACTTCTATGAATTAAACGCACTTGAATAAATAATCAAGTCTGTATAATGCGTCTGGAAAATAGCGTTTATTTTACAGACTCCAAATACCGCAGAAAATGGAGAAGAGGAGCTTCGACTAAAACAACAAGATTTGTTCTTCTTGGTATACATTTATATATTAGTTTTAATCAAAAAAAAATTTGCTCAAACGTTTTTTTTTAACGTTCTCTTTAATATGAACACAACATGTCTCGGGACTTGGTAGTCTCTTTAAATGTAATTTAAATTTTTTTTTAAAATTTTAAATGTTATTAACAATGATGTATGATTTAATACGCAAAATTAAATTATTTCATTTTCAATCTTTTTGAAATGTTTTTTTTTTCAACAACTTCTTACTTTGTTGATTACCATGTTTTTAATTCACTGGTGGTTGATGCAAATTAAAAAAAAAAAAATTTTTTTTTTTAATTTATTATAGAAAAATAATTTTTTATATTCTTTTAGATTTATCAACATGATATTTTTAAGATTCTGCAACAAGTTATTGCAAAAATAAAATAGCAATTAGTGAAAAAAAAAACAAAAAAAGTTTTTAACAAATATGATTGACATAGATATTGGTTCAGAACCTGGACCTGGTGCTAAAGAGTTAAATACTCAACTCCAAGTTAATTTGTGATTAACTTCACCAATAAAGTACAACACATTAGATTTATCACAGCAGAATTTCCTTCTCAATTAAAAATAAATAATTTTGTTACCAGAGCTCATATTGACTTTCCTTTAAACTTGAAAAAAGATGATAATAGTCAAAAAATTCCAGAAGGTTTATTAAAGTTTAGAAAACATTAATGCAGAACAGCGTACTCGAGACTTACTTATATGGAGCAAGCATAAGACTTCTTTATATTGTTTTCCTTGCCGGTTATTTTGGAACAGTGTCTGCTCCAAGCTAAATATTGCTTCAAAATCTGCATTAACTGCAGCTGAAGGATGGTCAGCAAGTTCCAATAAACGGAAGTTATGTAACAAGATTCCAGATCATGAAAAGAGTAATGGGCATAAAGAATGCTATCTAGCATGGCATGAATTAGAACATCTTTCAATGCAAGGCAGTATTTATAATTTCATTAAATTGTCAATTAAAGTGGAAAAATGGTTCCAAATTTTGAGAATTATTGATATTATTCTTTTTTGAAACAAAAATAGCCTTGCTTTTCAGTGATCTTCGCAACACATTGGTGACTCAAATAATAGAGACTTTTAGGTCTGATAGAGTTGCTTTCTAACTGGGACCCTATTCTAAAGGAACAAATTCTAAAAGTAGCTGAGTCACAAAAAATGAACAAAAGACTGCAACTACAACTTCTCAAATGATTCCCAAAATGAGTTTATTGCAGAATGTTTTGATCTTGTTAAGCAGCATGTTTTGGAAGAAAGATATTCTGCAAAGTACTACCCAGTAATTGTAGATTCTACAACAGGATTCAGCACATGTTAAGCAAACAACATTTATTTTATGTTATCTAGTTCGCCACCAATCGCATTATAAAATTGTGAAACGATTTTTGAAATTTGTAGATTGTAGTGACAAAAATGGTTCTGAAATTGCTCAAATGATTACAAAAATGTAATACTATTCCACTGACTGGTTGTAGGGGTTAAGGTTATGACAATGCGCCAAATATGTCAGGCAAATACAACAGAGTACAAGCTTTAAAAAGAAATGTGTCCTACTGCTATGTTTTCTACTTGTGGCTGCCACACACTTAACTTATGTGGTAATGATGCTGCTGAATGTATTCCAGAATCCATAGCCTACTTCGGAACTATGCAAATGATATACAGGGGTGGGACCGCAAAATGTGAACACTTTTCTGATTGTAATAATTAATTTTCTGTTAAATATGAACTATTTTAAATGTTCAATTTGACCTCCTTGATTCTCGTAGATCATTTTACAACGTTTAGACCAACTCTTTAGACACTTTCTGATGAGTGAGAGAGTACAACTACATCTAACGAGAAAATAGTTATAATAAAACAAAAACGTTCACATTTTGCGGTCCCACCCTTGTACATCTTATTCAGGTGTAGCCTGAATAGGTAGGAAATATTATCTAACATATCTGCATATCTAGCACCAGGTGGTTAGATAGAATAGTGTCAAACCATTTGTAGCTCACCCAGACTACTCTAGCTAAATCTTACTCCAAAAACTAGAAACAAGATTTGTGGAGCATTTTATTATATCAGTAACTTTACCTGCATCATAATGCCAGTTATGTGGTACAGAATATTAATTTCTACTAACATTTGCAACAAAATCATTTAACCCAGTAACATGACTTTAGAGATAGATGCTACAAATATAGAAAAGAGTAAAATGAGTGAGGAACCTCCCTTGAAATTCCAATTCCGAAAGCAAATTTTTTATGTAACGTTAGATGTTTTTGGAGGTCTTACAGTTCATTTTAGCACCACAAAACAGATTTCTGATACCTTTAGGTTTTTTCGGAAATGTCAAAAAATATCAGATGAATTAATAGATGAAGCAGCTAATTTTGTAAAGAAATTTCACATTTGGTTTGGTTAACAGAATATTATGACTGTCCAAATGATATATATATATATGCACTTTTTTTTTTACTTCTTATTTTATTTTATCTATGGACCTTGTGCTTATTTATATGTACATGTTTTAATTAAATACATTAAGAATAAAATAAATAAATAAATTTTATATTTAAGTTTAACTTATTTTACAGTAACTACCAGACACGATACAAATAAGTTAAGTCTGATAACTAATTTAAGAAAACATGACATTTTCCAAATTTTGCACTTTTTGCATGTTTGGCCAAACTTTTGCCAAGGTTCGGCCGAAACGAACGTTCAGCGCATCCCTAATACTTATCTCTCAAAAATGAGCCATATAAATGTTATTTATCTTATATGTTGTTAAATCATAATATAAGCTAACTAAAAATTAGTTTAATAAAAAATCTTGAATAGAATATAAAAAATGCAATATCATTTTATTATATTATATTTAAAGTGATATCAAGATCAAACATTATTTATAAATATGCAAAAGGTTTTCAGAAATTTTTATTTAAAAAAAAAATCTATTTGATCAAAAGAATTTTAGTCTTTTATTCTCTTATTCAAATAACTTTGTGATTGAAATTTGAAATTAAAAAAAAATTTAAAAGAATTTTAATGCTCAATAATTATAAATTTAATTCAGTGGCGTCCATAACACCCAGTCCATAATACCCAGCATAGACAGAATCATTGTGGAAAATTGAATGCATATCTAGCTACAGTAACAATATCAGATTTAGACCATAGTACAAGTGTACAGATTTGGACCATAGTACAAGTGAGGATGAAAGCTTTATTCAAATCGTAAACATTTTGATTTGTTAATTATATTTTGTATCTTAACAGTAGTTTTAAAAGAAGAAAATTTAAACCAGTGATTGCAAAAATTAAATTAAATTATAAAAAAATTAAATTAATTAATTATTTTACTTCTGTTCAAAGAAATTTTTTAATAGTACACTAGATAAAGAAACAAAAAATTATAAAAATATGGTATCTAATGTTTTTTTGCTTTTATCTTACTCGCTTGGTCTATAGATTATAGACTGGTATGGTCTACAGACAATCAAAAAAAAATTTTTGTATTAATTTGAGCCCTGTATTGTTACTTTAAATTTGAAACGCAGCAACATATCGTTGCTTTAAATTTTAAATGTAGTAATATGTTACTCTGAAAGGCAGAAACAGTTACTTTGAATTTGAAGCGCAGCAACATAATGTTCCTTTAAATTTTAAAGCAACTACTAATATATTATATAATTATATTATAATAATATCTTCCTATTATATATTTAATCTTAAAAAAAATGTTTACCTGATTTGAAGCATTATCAATGAATGTGGATGACAAAAAACCATGCAGAGTCCTTTTGTTTCTTAGCAAATAAGTTTTATTTATAGGTGAAACTTTTTCATTTGAAAAGAATTCATTGTTATCAGTTGGTGTCATTTGTGTAATATATAAAGATTGATCGTCATATGTTTTTCTAAACAAATCTTCAAACTTACTGTGAACATTGATTTGAGATTTTTCACAAACATCCATTAATGAGTTATGATTTTTATTTGGTATTTTTCCAGAATTATCTGAACTATTACCATTGGGCATTTTCTCAGAATTAACTGTTAAGTGTGGGTTACAAATTTGATTTGACATTTTTCCAAAACTATCTGCTGAAGGTGCGTTACAACTTTCATTTGGTATTTTTCCAGAATTATCTGTTGAGTATATGTTACAAGTTTCATTTGGTATTTTTTCAGAATCATCTGTTGAGTGTGGGCTACAATTTTCATTTGGTATTTTTTCAGAAACATCTTCTAAATTGTCAATCTTAATTTTTTGAGAAATATCTGATTCCCTAGATAAAGTTTTTGTGCCATTGACCACAGCTGAAACTGGAGAATCAAGTAAGTATGTCTCATTTATTGGTACTTTATTTAAAATTTGATGAATGTTTACATAACCATTATGAGATGTCATATGACTGATGTCAAATTCCGAAACAGCTGTATGATTAGATGGTAAAACATCCAAAACAGATGTATGATTAGATGGTAAAACAAAAATGTTGCTGTTGTCACTATGTACTTGGAATGAAGTTTGCACTGATATATCTTGGCACTATAAAAATATTAATGCATATTATAAGCATTTACTTAAAAAACAATATATTATTATGTTATTATATATATATATATATATATATATATATATATATATATATATATATATATATATATATATATATATATATATATATATATATATATATATAATAACATGGGATTTAAAAGGTTTTTAAATAAAAGTTATTTTTAGGGGTGCCTCAAAACCCTTGAATATTTTTAATTAGTCCCTAATAATATAAAAAATTTTTAAAAAGTATGTCTTGTTGGGTCTCAAAAGAGGCGAAATTATATTAAAATTTCAAAAATAATAATTATTTTATAAAAAAAATTAATTTAGATTTTATTACCTAGAAAATAAAATTTTTTAACTAAAACTGAAAAATATGCATTTTAAAAGTATTGCTTGAACTTGCTGCAAATTGCTTGGAATAACATCACTCCACAGCACCTTTAAGATCTTATTGAGTCTATGCCTTGATGAATTGAACAGCTACATTTAGCTGAGGGTGGACATACTAAGTATTAAAAACTCTTCCAGTTCTCGATTGACTATTTACTGTAGTGTATGAAAAAGGGAAACACTGTACAAATATAGACTGATTCTTTGGCGTTTCTGTTTTATCTAGCAAAAAATGCCATTAAAAATTTATTAGACATATGCCTTTTTTCTGTCACTATTTTCATTAAATTCTTATTAAGTCAGTTTTCTTATCTAAATAACATCAAATTCCGATGATATTTTTATCTATTGCTTTTTTATTCAATGCATTTTTTAATAAAAGTTAGCGTTCACTTTTTTTATTCAATAAAACAAAGCGAAAGAAAAAAATGCGTCTAAATAATAGAATCTTTTACGATCTAATACTTTTTTTGATTGTTAATAGAAAAAGTATTAGAACGTAATCGTAAATATTTTTATCGTTTTGTAATAATTTCACAAGTTTAATGCTTAGAATTTTTCAGGATTTTTACTAACATAAAAGTATTTTTATGAAGCTAAAAATTTCTAATTTTCTTTCTTTTACTCTATGCTCAGCTTTTAAAAAAATTTATTGTTACAGAAGTCACTGCAGTTTTATACTGTAAAAGAACGCTAAATATTGGCGATTAATATTAATTATCTAAAATTAGATTTTTCTAAAATGATAAAAGAATAATCGCGAAAAAAAGAAAGGTCGCAAAAAAACAAACTTTAAGAAAAAACTATCGCGAATCGCGATACGCTTAATTCGAACCCTGTATATATATATATATATATATATATATATATATATATATATATATATATATATATATATATATATCTTATACTGCTGAGTTAGGTGAGCATGATGATGTCATACTCACCTAATGTCAAATAGCCTGCTGCCGGGGGCTTCAGTACATACATCGACTGACAAATAGCCTGACTCGCCGTGGAGTGCTGCTACATCGACTTGAGGGTTTATATATATATATATATATATATATATATATATATATATATATATATATATATATATATATATATATATATATATATATATATATATATATATATATATATATATATATATATATATATATATATATATACTCTTGATAAATATATATATATTAGTGATGTACAGCTACTATTTGTGGCCGATGCCAATACCGATGGATGGGAAAAGTCCAATACCAATTCCAGGCCTTGTGATGAATAAAAACTGCGCGACGCATAAGCACGACGTGATTTTTGACGTCATTAAATTCTTTTTATTTGCTTTTCATATTTTTCAACATTAACTGCACCAATTTACTTAATTACCGCAAAACTACTTTAAATCATTAATGTAGAAATGTTATTATTTAAAAATGTTTTGGAATGTTTCGTTTTTTAAATTGTAAAAACATTTGCTTATTTTCTCGACATTTGACACATTTTGTCTTTACTAAACGAATAAAAAACATAACTTAAATTTGAAAAAGATTATAAAATATGCTAATATTTGATTTTTTTTTTCTTAAATATGTAATTTAAAGTTTTTCAAATAATTATTTTTTCTTTTTAAAAAGTCAGCGAGTAATAAACTGGAAATTTTAATATTGTACGATTAAAAACTGTGCAATAGCTAATATTTTTACAAGCGATTTTATATAATATTTATTTATTTATTTTTATTTATTTTCATAAAGCGGTTGATAAGCACAATCACTCGTATTAATAAAAAACTTAAACGAACGTTTTGAATAGATTTTTAATGTTAACAAGAAATTTTATTTCTAGTAAAATAAAATAACTTTTTTATTGAATCAAGTAGAATATGTTTTAATATTAATCCTTTTTTTTTTTTTTGTTTGCGCTCACCAATTTTTAAAATGTTTCCTCGAAATTACTCTTAAATACTTTAAATACGTCTAACAGTTAATAAATATTTTTAATTCTATGAAATAATTTTAAAACCTAACAAACCCCCGTAAAATAATTATTTAAGTTTAAAATCTAAAAACTAAAAGAAAGTATATATTTTATCGACAACTTTGCTATTGCTGAATAATTTTATTAAAATGTTAGCTTAAAAGATTTAAACTTTTTTTTTAATCTGAATTTTTTGTACTTGTAAATAATGAGCATACTTAATTTTTTAAATTCAAACTTTTATATCAACTGCGTGTGGTTTTTAAAATACTTTATTAAATGTGAAAATAATCGTAAATTACTTCATTAAAATTCCGCTCAAAAATAAACTCAAACAAAAATTTTTTTGCTCGACGCAAATAGCCCTAGCTACACGCAAAATCGCTTTTGGACGACGTAAAATTCACATTGCCCGACGCTTTATCGCAAGGCCTGCAATTCCAACACAGATGAGTTAACTAATTATTAAAATTTCAAAAATATAAAGCCAACAAATTGTGTAATTTTTACTATGAAGAAAAAAGTTTTTTTACTATGAAAAAAAATTTCAAAAAATAAATACAATTATAGAGGAAATGATATTATTTACTATTCAATACAACGCCAAGCAGTATATTTACTATTCAATACAACGACAAGCAGTTTACTTTTTCTTTATTATTATAGTTCCTTATCAATTTATTAGTAATTAGATCTAAACAGCAATCATATAGAAATATAGAAGGCTATACTTGAAAACATATAGACAATTAAATAAGTTACTAAACAGGTTACTTTTAAGTATAACATTAGAACAATAAAAAATAAAATCATTCTAAAAACCACATGGTAATCAAAGTACATTCAGCTGTTAAATTAAAGAGTATAAACATCATCTTAAGAATAAACAAATTAAATAGTAAGTGACCAGGGCCTCGGCCTTGGCTGTTAATGAGACTTTTTGCAAACCGGCCCTGGCAAAATTATAAGATTTAGTAGGGGTTGATAGCCGGGGCTAGAAAAAAAATTATAATAGATAATATATTATAATTTTATACTTACATTTACTATTTATTAAATAATGGCATACATCTATATATTTTTAAACTCTAATATACTACTATTAAGTTATGAATTACTTTAAAATAAGAATAATTAAGTATAAGTAATAAGTAAGATATATATAAGATAAGAATATGTAAGTTATAAGTAAGAAAATAAATAAGAGAATAAGTAAATACTAGGAAATGTATAACTGAAGACTAGGTTGTATAAAAAAAGGAAAACATGAAGATGGGTAAGAATTAAAAGGGTTTTTTGGTGTTCAAGGAAAAAAACTGGATTAATAAAAGTTTTTATAGCAAGAAAAGACAGATACAGTGAAAGGATGCAACTTGTTGAATAAATAGTTAAGCAAGAATGAGTTTTGGTTTACCATAATAGAGATGATAGATGGTTTGAGAATTGACTACAACTGTATTTTTAGAAAAAAGAAAGAAATGCAGCCTTACAACAATGGGAGAGTGGCTGAATTATATTTACAATGTGCTTTTAGACTTTGTCTGAGATTAAGAGGGTTGTTATTTTTCAATATAGGAATGCCAAAAATATTGCAATTATTTTTTTACAGTAAATAAATGAGTTGTTTAATAAAAATTGTAGATTTTAAGTCCAGAATTTAAATTCATAAGCCACTGCAAGCCTTAACCTGTTACAGAAGTGAAATCAGTTTTAAAATCTGCTGCTTGTTCTAAGCAATCAAAAAGTGAAAACAAGAGTATAAAGTTAAGTCATCAGCAAAAAGAGCCACTTTAGATTTTATGAAGATTATTATTGTAGATCTATTGTTGTATTATGTATTATTGTAGATCTATTGTTTCTTATCTATAAGAAACAATATAAGAGCAAAGATAGAACCTTGTGGTACCCTTAAAGTTACTTGAAATAAAGAAGAGTTTAGGGCTGCAAGAATAACTTTACTACTGCAGTCAGAAATAGTTTAATAACCTTAAAACCTTTATATGAAGAAAATAATAACAGAGTGAAGACTAAGCGTAGGATAGTTGAAGAGGTCAAAGTGTTTTCTAAAGTTTTGAAAATTAAAACCATTTATTTAGCAATTGATAAAAGATTAGCAAAATTTGAAAAAATTAATAATTGAGTTCTGAAAAACACTTTTTTAGGACTATGATGGAAATCGTGACTGGAGCACAAACTGTAGAAGTGTTTAACTGAGAATTAATTTTAGCATTGAAAGCCAGAGTGATTTTAATGTTTAATAATGGGTTAATCTGTTTAATTGTCATGAAAAGTACGGCCATTATGTTCAAGAGTTAAATTAGAGTAAGATTACTTTGAAAATAACTTATTCTAAGGAGAAGTAAAAAAATCCATGAATAAGAGATTAAATGTTACAACTTACTTTAGTTAAAAACACTGTTGAAGACTAACCAAACATCTCTAGAACCTAATATCTGAGATAAGGTACAAGATTTAGTAAAATAAGAATAACAGAGCTTAACATTAGATAGGACTTTTTTACATTGGCTTCTTGCAAAAATAAAAGGACATTTTTTCTAAGAGAGATGTTATAAAAAAGATGAAAAAAAAGATTAATTTTTTAATAAAGCAATTGCTTAAAATAGTGAAAAATCTGGAGTAGAATGAGGTTTGACATAAAATTGAAGAGTATAAAAAGCTTCCAAATTTTTATTCCAGAAGAAATAAAAGCTTCTGAGATGCGCTTTATGGATATATATTATGGATATAAACACATATTTTTTCTATTTATTTATATGCTGACATACAATATCCTATAATTATTATATAAACTTTAGAATTTATATGGTGCAGTATTTGCCAAAAGATAAGGTGATCAGATCGATGTATGGTATGACTCTGGCAAGATAAGAGAAGGAGGCATAATCATAGACAGATTAGAAAAAATCTTGTATTGAACAATGATTGTTAGAAAATAATAAAGTGATTTAGGTATCAGCATGTAGAGAGGTAACAGCTTCAATAGAAAATGATAGTGGTAGAAGTAAGAAAACGAGAGAGTAAGAGTGCCTTATATATTGTATATATGAATGTTTATGCAGCCTTGGTCACAAACCCGGCCCCGGCTATATTTAATCAAACCCCTCCCCCCAGCCTTAGTCAAATATCAACCCCAGTCAATTACTACTTGTACACAAAGTCAAAATAAAGAATTTCTCAAAAAAATTTAAAGTAATGCATAAAGTTTAGCTTATTAATTATTTAATTATTACCATAAAGCAGGATAAAAATATTAAAATGCCATCGGTTGGAAAATTGGTAAATTAATAAAAAAAGGCTGATGCCGATACTGATTCCAATTGTGCAAAAAGAAGCAGATTAAGCCATAATTAAAATTTTTAAAAAACGTAAAAAAAAATCCTCAAATTTTAATTTGGGCAGCGCCTAAATACAGTTTTTGGTTTTTGTAAAATTTGATTAAGTTAAATAAAATCTTGTTTTGCAGTTATTTAGAATTAAAATAAAATGTTCTTTTTGCTGTAGAGTTTTTTAAATTACTTTGTTCAGAATGTAAGTAAAAAATCTGTTTTATTTTTATTTTATTTTAATTTGTTTATTAAGAAAAATAAAATGTTTCTAATTCCGTTTTTATGATTTAAATAAAATGTTCTTTATTGCGTTTTTAATTTAAATATATAATTTAGAAATTTGTTTTGGTAGTTTTTTTTAAGTTATATATATATATAAACAAACCATAAACATTAAAAAGCATATATTTCAATATACACATAAATTTACTAATTACCTCTGCAGAATCAGAACCATAAAGCTCTGCTGTTGAACTGTGTGAGGTAGTTGAACCATAGAGCTCTGCTGTTGAACTGTATGAGCTAGTTGAAATGTTGACAGTTGCAAAATCTTCATTAGTAATATTTGAAAGTGATTGAACTTTATTTATCTAAAAGTTATGTAAATAGATAGATATGTATGATTCTCAATAAGTCTCTTCATTCAATCATGAAAACATCTACCATAAATGAGTATTTATCAAGCTAATTACAATGGAATAAAAAAAAAAAAGAGAAGGTTGAATAGAAGAATTATTTAATGACAAATGTCAAGTTACATAATTAAAAAAATCCAACCTAATTGACAATTGAATTAAAAACACACACTCATATAAACTTAATGCTGCCACTATTAATTGAAAAACTGATATTTGCTAATATAATATTAAAAGCTATATACAATAATAAATTATAAAAAAATATTTATTTTTACATGGTATATACAAGTATATACAACATATACAACTCTAACCTCTTCAGGAAGTATAAGCTTTTTGTCAGAAAAAGAATGTATTTCTTCCCATGTTTTTTTCAAAAAACATTCAAACTCATGTTTTTCCTCTTCAAATTCTTCTAACAAGTAACTGAATTTTAAACAACCTAAAAAACATATTCAATTGAAAAAAATAGTTCTTTATTTCTTTTTTTATATTTTTTATTTATTATAGATCAATACAATCCTGAAATATAATAGAAAAATATTTTATCAAGGTATACTTTTTTCTTCAAAAATAAGTTAATCTGGATCTCAAATAAAGTTAAACTATATAAAAATTTCCAAAACAATAAATACTTGATAACAAAATAATTATTTTAGACTTAGTTGCATAAAAAAAGATTTTTCCTCGGTCTCAATTAAACTAAATTTTTGGTGAACAAAGATTCTGGTGGTTTAGATAAAAAAAACACAAGGTAAACTGATCGTGTTTCAAACTTATTAACAATTTAAAATATTGAATGATTAATTTTATTGATGTAGAGTTCAAAGAAATGGATACTTTGATATACAGTGACTGTTTGTGTGTGTGTTTGTGTGTGTGTGTGTGCGTGTGCGTGTGTGTAAAAAACTTCACAAGAGCTGAGGTTTGCTTGCAGTTGACTAAAGCATACTTCTGATAAATTGCTGAATATGCATAAAACTATTGATTAAATTTATGTTAAACTCTTCTGACATGGTTACAAATAACACCAATGGCTATGTTGGCGAACAATGGTTGGTTACCTACCTCAAACAGGTCTCAAAAACAATCCAAGGGGCTCCAATGTCTGACACTTATTTCGACCCTACATTAATGCAATTTCTAACTGATGACTTTTTAATATTTCCCAACCAATATTTAATGTTGTTTTAAGTTGTTACTGCAACCATGTTTGAACCACTGCCTATTAATTCTCCTACACCATGAGCAGACCTGTAAAAAACTACAACTGGTATGTTGAATGATAGAGCAGCTTCGTTAAGTGAAAAGTTAATGCTTTGTACTGAGGTCATAACTAACAGGACTTGCTCTTAAATATATGGTGTTCCTTTTTTATACTTTATATTAGATTAGATTTGATAATAACTAATTTAAAATTCATGCAAAGAATTTATGGAGATTCCATTAGGTAGTTTAGATGTGATTAATATAATACCTATTTATCAAGTTAAAAATTAGCATATTTTACAAATAAGCATAACTATACAAGAATACATTTTAGGTTTATTAACAGCATATTTTACTTATGCGCAGCGTGGAAAATAACATCTAGTCAATTGTCAATAACCACTTGAATTGACTAAAACTGCTATTTTGACTTCCCAAAATGAATTCTTGTCAGCCATGGTTGACTGGTTGAAAAAAAATCAGAGTTTTAAAAAACAAGGACAAATAATCAGAATGTTTTTTGGAAAACACATATACTAAAATTTCATAAAATCATTTAAACTTTGAAAAAACATTAAAACATTTTATGGCTTTAAATGCATATTATGAACAATAAACGTTTAAAACATTTCATTGTTTATGCTACTTTAATTACTAACAGGTAGAAGCAAATTCTTTAACCCTTTTTTTTCAATACTGATTTTTATCTTTGTTTTTAAAACATTGCATTAAATCAACGTTTTATCAATAATTCAATAATTAAAAATTGTTAACTTATTAATAATTTTATATTATAAATTGTAATACTTAAAATATATTTGAATATATATTAAGTTTATTGTTGTTTAAATTTTTATCTAATAATTATTGCATGTTAGTAGAAACCAGTCATTTTTCCTTTTTAACAACTCTGAACCCATTAATTCACTTAGTTTGATGAATATATTAATTCACTTTGATGAATTAATATATTCATATATTATACGTGATGCAAACTATAACTATTAAGTTTTTTTGTTTCACTTATTTAAATTACTTTCATTTTAACATTGGTGAAAATCCTTTTTTCATAAATGATAGAAGTTTTTACATTATTATTATCTTAATCAAAATATTTTATTAATAATATTATAATATAATATATATAATATAATAATTTTGGATTTAACTAAGAACATTTTTTCTTTTGAATGCACTTGGACCATTTGTTTTATACCTTTTTTTTTTTTTTTTTAAATCTTTTTAACATGATCTTGACTCTACTTTTTCATAATATCTTTTAAAATATTTTTCTTGTAGCTTTTTCTATTTGTGAAGTCATTGCACTGAAATGAATTATTTTTAAATAAATTAAAAACTATTGTCTGTTTTCATTTTTTTTAAAAAAGCCTTATTTTTATTTAAAATTATTATTATTAAAATAATACGAATTGGTTTAACTTATTTTTGTATTTATAAAGTTCAGTCATGAAGAAGTATTACTAAGAACCCCAAGGCAGGATATATTTTAAGTCAGAGTTATAAAGCAGTAAAACCTCTGCCAGGTTATACTTTATTATATATACTTGATTATGCAACCAGTAGGATGACCATGATGATCTTGAAATTGACCTAAGCATAATTTTTAGTTTGATATTATTGATTATTTATATAACTGGTTAATTAATTGGTAACTGCATTAGTATCAGCTTTTTTTTGTTTATCTACCACTACACCACTACATAATCATATTTACGTTATCCATAAATTATAATTTCATATTTGATAAATAGGATATAAAAATAAAACAACAACATTAAAACATAAAACTCAAATTTTACCCTATTCTTTAATAAAAAAATATTACCTACAATAAAACTTGCGTTAAAAAACTCTAAGTAATAAGTAATGAATAACATATTAACTACATTTACAATTAAACTTTAAACAAAGAAGTTTAATTTGATGTGCTAGAGATATTGAGCACATTGTTGTTTTTTGAAAAATAAAACAAAAGTGGATTAGATAAAACTAGCAGATAAGTCAACAAGTAAAACTATGAATTTAACCTAAGGTTAAATTTATACTTTTACTTTTTGGTATAAATGTTATAAGCTCTAAAAGATTTTAGTTTTCATAAAGATTTCAATATCTTGAATCCTCATTGCAATGACATCGCAAATGACAGACGCTTTTTTCTAACGGTTGAAAATAACTTCTTGAAAGGAAAAAAGTAAAAAGGAAAAGAAAACATTTATAAATTAAATGAAAAATAAAATCAACAAAAAAGAAGAATAAATGAATGTTTTAAAAGAAGAAAAGAAAAAGAAATATCTGAAAGAAAATAAGTGAAAAAATAATGAAAATAGAAATTTAAAAAAATGGTAATGAATGAAATATATAAAAGGAATGACAAAGAAAGAAAAAAAGCTATTTAAAAAGTGGAACCTTGATCGGCAAATCAAGAATTATTTTTTGTTAATCATTTATTTATTTTTTAGTTATTACTTATTTTTAGTGGTATATAAATTTTTTATACAGTTATATATTATTTGTTTTTATTTATATTTTAGCCAAAAAACGGTAGAATAAAACATTTAACAATATGTTTTATTCTACCATATAATAACATATAATAATATGTTTTATTCTACCATGTTTTATTATTATTTATTTTTTTTAATCTCAAATTGTTGTTTTTTTGCCAAAGGTAATTTTTTGTTTTGTTTGTAATGTTTGTTGTAACTTTTGTTTTGTTTTGATTTTCTCAGTGTTTTTTTGTTTATATTTTATTTATTTATTTGGTCATAATATTTGCAATAGAATTTGATTATTATATTATAACAACAACAACTTTATAATATTTTTAATAGTATTTGTTTTTATGTCATCCTTAGTTGCTACGTTTTTGTCAGTTTATTACTGCTTTATTATTGTTATTATTATTATTACTATTATTAATATTATTATTATTACTAAGATTAATTATATATAAATATATATATATATATATATATATATATATATGTATATATATATATATATATATATATATAGACTTGGTCGGGAGGCGGGAGCGATGGCTCTCAAATACTGACCACGGAAATTATATTTAGTTGCGAAAAACTGGCCTTTATTCGCGAACATTAAAACCCCGCAAAATTAACGAAGAAACTAATTCTATTGGTTCAAAAAATATGCTGACTTAGCGAAATAAAGTTCTAGAGTATTCTGTTGAAATGTTTTAGAAATTGTATTATTCACGATTTGTTATGTTTTGAGATGTCTAGCATAAATTGTTTTAAGAATATATATTATTTGTTTACAAAAATAAATGTTTTAAATATAAATTAATTAAATTGTCAAAATTTTAAAAGTTTATTATAAATTATAGATTTTATTAGTATATTCTTATTTTTTATTTAAAAAGTATGTATTCTTTATATAACATAGATGAGTTTTTTCCGGGAATTCCTGGAATTCCGGAAATTCACATCAAGTTTCCGGGAAATTCCGGATGCTTTTTGCTATTGATTTGTAAAAAGTTATTTAAAATTTAAAATACGACATGGTTTGCATTTAAGCAATTATGTTTTCTATAAATGAAATTTTCACGAGATCAATTTTTTCAAAAAATTTTTTTCTTTTTAATTCATTCAAATTAACTTTTTTGAATATTAGAAATTCTTTTTCTTAAGAAGTTAATTGATGTAAATTCCATTTTAAACGTTTGCAAAAGATCTTGTCGTTAAAAATTACTATAAAGAAGAAAGAAAAGAAAATGCAAGTTAAGAGTTTATCTGACATTTCTGAGATAGACAAAAATATTAAAAACAAGTTTCGCTGGAATTGGCTTCAAGAGAAAGACTATAATGATGAGCATTATTCAGCCTATATTACAAAGATAAATAAAGCCGGAGCGGTAAGTTTATTCTCTAACTGAACACTGAAATATATAACTTTATCATAGTTATATATTATTTGATTTGATGTTTTAGGTACGATGTACAATATGTAATAAAGACTTTTATTATGGAAGTGAAGGTAAAAAATCTTTACTCAGCCACTCAAAGTCTAAAATGCATCGTCAAAACTGCGCAATGATTAAGTCCAACGAAGCTATACCGTCGTCATTTTTTACTAATTAAAAAAAAAACAGATATGTGTATATTGCCATATGGCACTCCGGATAACGTGCATATTGGCAGTACTTGCACAAAGAGAGTAAAGCCTACCATTAAACCTATTGTAAGTTTTAGAGACAGGACATCAAATGCAGAAGCTATGACACTCGCATTTATTTGTGAACACAATCTTCCAATATCTTTAACATCCCATATGATTGAATACGCAAAGGAAATGTCTAAAGATCATTGTGTTTTAAAAAATTTGAAAATGTTCAGAACAACTGCTTTGTATAAGCTGCGAGAAGGATTAGGTGAAGCTTTTCATGCTGAGCTTGTTTTTGATATGAAAATAAAAATGTTCTCCTTTAACATAGATGAGTGCTTCTCGGCAAAAAATGAGAAGGTTCTCAGTATACTCGTAGCATATTTTTGCGACAAAACTAATAAAGTTGTATTAAAGCACTACGCGTCATTATCGCTTGTTACGGTAAATGCCGAAAGTCTTTTTAATGCTGTTATTCATTTATTTAACAAAGACACAATTCCATTAAGTAATCTTGTTTCCAATTTATCAGATTCTACCAATTATATGAGAGGAAAGATCAGTGGGTTTGAAACAAGGTTAAGAAAAGCGGTTCCTCACTTACTTGATATTGATGGTGATATTTGTCATCATGTGCATAATGTTGTCAAAAAATTTACTTCTTTTTTCGGCAAGGTAGTTGAAAACTTACTGGATGATATCTACATTGATTTTAAATATAGCCCAGATCTTCGTACATTTCTGAAAAAAATCTGTCAAATCACAGGTGTCACATACAAAACTCCAAAGCAAAGGGTTTGTCATCGATGGTTGTCTGTTTTAGATTGCACTCTTCCTATGCTTGAGATGATGCCTGCTTTCACCTTAATTTATTCTTCTTGGCTATCAAAACAAGACATCTCTCTGTATAAAGATGAAAGTGACAAAATTTTAAAGAGGCTATCAAATGAAAGTAAGAAACTAATAGAAAAAATAAAATGTAAAATGCAGCAGAAAAAACTAACAAAACAAGGTGCAGAAAGAAAAGCTAGAATTGTTAAAAGTTTAATTTTCCGACGTAATGAAACATTACTTTATATTAATTTGTACGTTGAAATTCTTCCTATTTTTAAATCATTCATTTTGACTTTTGAACAAAAAGAACCGTTAGTCCATCGAATTTATGATGAGCAAATTGAACTAGTGAAAACAATTTTCACTTGTTTTATTAAGCCAAAGATGATAAAAAATATAACAGGAGAAAAGTTGAAGTTTTTAAACCTGAAAGATAAAAAAATGTATCGCCATTCGAACTACATATACCTTGGAAGTAATGCTGAAAAATATTTGTCAAGAAT